CCATGCCAGTAACATTAGACCCTGCAGAAACAACAGATCTCCCAGCAGGCAGCATTAATAGATCCTCCAGCAGCCAGCAACAGAAGTCCTCCCTCAACAGTAGATCCCTCTCAGCAACAATTGACCTTCAACAACATAAGACCCCCCCAGAAACAATATACCCTCATGCAAAAATTGATCCCCTCCAATGACAATAGATCCCCCAGCAGCCAGCAGCCAGCATTAATAGACCCTCCAGCACACTCCAGCACCCCCTTGTCATTACATACATTCAGTGCTGGATATGCCAGAACTGCGTTCCCCCGCATTCCTGCTGAGAAAAAGCCCTGGATAACCCAAAATAGACAGTTATCCATACAGTAAATGACTGATACACTGTATATATGGATAATGTTGTACCAACAGCAGGATAAAAATATATTAGGGAAGATTTACTAAAACTGGGGCACTCAGGTTTTTCAATTAAGCTTTGACAATAAAACTTGGAAGCTGATTGGTTTGCAAAGTTGCAACAGATTTTGCCCTCTCCAGTTTTAGTAAATACCCCCCATTGTCTAAATACAAGAGGCATGTGTATTCTTGAATATTATTGCACTTTGTGTATTTTTTTCAGATCTGTGCAGATTTCCAGCATGAATCTCTGTGCAGAAGCCAACTGTAATAGAGACCAGTCATTGCTGTTCTCTTTCCTTGTGCAGGGTGACTGGTCTCATCTCCGCCCTCTCCTGTAGTTTGCTGCAGGCAGTATGTAGTGGGTGGTGCTGCTGGGTCCCTCCCACAGCTCTGTTCCTTCCACAGGCTATGTGTGGTACAGTGATAACAGTGATAATGTCACTATTACTTTTACACTGCAATAACTGGGTTTGAAAGGCATTTGGAGTTTACAACTGAATTTATATGTGTGGTTATTAAAATATACACTATATTGCCAAAAGTATTGGGCCGCCTGCCTTTACACGCACATGAACTTTAATGGTATTCAAGTCTTAGCCCATAGGGTTCAATATTAACTTGGCCCACCCTTTGCAGCTATAACAGCTTCAACTCTTCTGGGAAGGCCGTCCACAAGGTTTAGTAGTGTCTATAGAAATGTTTGACCATTCTTCCAGAAGTGCATTTGTGAGGTCAGGCATTGATGTCGGACGAGAAGGCCTGGCCTGCAGTCTCCACTCTAATTCATCCCAAAGGTGTTCTATTGGGTTGAGGTCAGGACTCTGTGCAGGCCAGGCAAGTTCCTCCACCCCAAACTGGCTCCTCCATGTCTTTATGAACTTTGTTTTGTGCACTGGTGCGCAGTCATGTTGGAACTGGAAGGGGCCATCCCCAAACTGTTCCCACAAAGTTGGGAGCATGAAATTGTCCAAAATGTCTTGGTATGCTGACGTCTTAAGGGTTCCCTTCACTGGAACTAAGGGGCCAAGACCAACCCCTGAAAAACAACTCCACACCATAATCCCCCCTCCACCAAACTTTACACTTGGCACAATGCAGTCAGGCAAGTACCATTCTCCTGGCAACCGCCAAACCCAGACACGTCCATCGGATTGCCATACAGAGAAGCGTGATTCGTCACTCCAGAGAACACATCTCCAATGCTCTAGAGTCCAGTGGCAGCGTGCTTTACACCACTGCATCCGACGCTTTTCATTGCACTTGGTGATGTAAGGCTTGGATGCAGCTGCTCGGCCATGGAAACCCATTCCATGAAGCTCTCTACACACTGTTTTGTGCTAATCTGAAGACCACACCAAGTTTGGAGGTCTATAGCTATTGACAAACAGTTGGCGACTTCTGCGCACTGTGCACTTCAGCATGCGCTGACCCCGCTCTGTCATTTTACATGGCCTACCACTTAGTGGCTGAGTTGCTGTTGCTCCCAGTTGCTTCCACTTTGTTATAATACCACTAACAGTTGACTGTGGAATATTTAGTACCCAGGAAATTTCATGGATGGACTTATTGCACAGGTGGCAACCTATCACAGTACCACGCTTGAATTCACTGAGCTCCTGAGAGCGACCCATTCTTTCACAAATGTTTGTAGAAGCAGTCTACATGCCTAGGTGCTTGATTTTATACCACTGTGGCCATGGAGGTGAATGGAACACCTGAATCCAATGATTTGGAGGGGTGTCCCAATATTTCTGGCAATACAGTGTATATTTCAATAAAAGTGTTTGTGCTGGGAGTCAGTTTTAGCAGACCTAAGGAGACCAGATAAAAGAAGTTCATTGTTGGGGTTTACATACCCTTTAAGGCGTATATGAGAGTTCAGGAATTGAGTTTACTTTACTTTACAAATGATTGTGTCAGGGTTCACATACACTTCCCGTTCGATCTGGCATCGTACCTGTCAGATAAAATCACAAAGGAAAATTGTTTGTTCAGCCTGTTACAACCCCTTTAAGTTTTGACAAGTTGGGAAGAATTTCTCCACTTGCCAGAATTCTTTTGTATGCAATCTCCTTCCGCATACAGTAATTCGCACTTCAGCGTTGGTTCTCCTTTCAGGACTAGTTCAGTCTGCAGAGGAGCATGTACTTTAAAATTCCAGGAGTTCCTTGCAGTGGTGGTTGAGAAAGAATTTGATGACAAATCAACTATTTAATGCTGTCTGCTCAAACCTCTTTTTTTTTCTCTCTTTCTCTCTTGCTCTGAGAAGTTGGCACACCGGCTTACAAAAATATTGAACGGGAAACTAGGATTCAATTGGCCGACGAAACGTTGCTTCAAATATTCCACATTACAAATTCCTACTGATCGGTTATAAAACAGAGGATATGTTACACAATAGGAAAGAATGGAATGCCTTTCATTTATTAAATCAATATTTTCTAGATGCTTGGTTTTTTTAATAATGTAAAAAAAAGCCCCCCCCCCCCCCCCCCTTCCTTCCCTTGTTTCCAGCTATGGATTTCCCACTTTTTATGTTACAGCTCAGATGGAAAGAATCCGTTTGTACGAGACATTAATAAGCCCTCCACATTTTGGGAGGTAAATGAGTGAGTAGACGGTTGTAGAACGGGTCCAGATAAACTCAGACTGGAAATTAAAGGTACACTGAAGTCTTTAAATTAAAAAACTGAACTCCGGGCAAATATATAAAAATATATATAGGGGGGTATCTTACCTGCCAAAGGAATTGTATTTATATCCATCCCGTCCTGAGATTTACACAGTTCTGCCACAAAACACAGCCAGCTTTGACACCTGAATTTTTTTATACTGCAGTTAAGGGTGAATTCACATTAACACCCTGTTAAATCGCAGTGCAGCCAGAGCAATTCACAGCTCTCTGCATTGTGCTAGGGCGGTGTGATGTATGATTCAGAACATTACACTGCTCCTTTTTTTTGTTTTGTTTTGTTCAAGTGCTAGACAGTGTTGCAACGTGAAACAACTGTTTCTTGTGTGTCCCTGAAGTGGCAGATGCTTTACAATTTGGTAAAATGTCTTTAACACTGCATATAGTGTGGATTGGCTCCAAATAATACAACCATGTCTAGTTTCTCCCTTAGCCTGTGATTGGTCAGTGAAGGAGCAGCAGACTGATGAGATCATCTCTCTGTCTTTCTGTTTTCTACTCCTGTCAGAAGTTATGTGTTGGCACACATACAGTGCAGCACAGCTGATTGGCTCTTTGTGCTACCCCTCCCTCTCCCGGCCCAAGTTCTGCTGTACAGCAGATTGCTGATAGGGGCTAATACCAAGTCAGATCTAGGTATGTGCTACCACGTACCTGGTATTAGAGGCCAATGGGGAGAGAGGGCTTCCCTTGCTGCTAAGTTCCAGACTCCCCTGGATATGGGACAGAAGGAGTCAGGCCCATAGTAGCACGGATCGCCTGCAAGAGTGCTTGTCAGAGGTACACTCAGGAGCACAGCTGATGCACTGGAATGGTGTCTGCAGACAAGTGGCACCCGTGAGAGGTATGCAGGCCTTCAGGGTAGCAGAGGACCACAGAGTAGTCAGTTCAAAACCAAGGTCAGATGCCAGGTGGAGATTGGAGCAGACATAGTCAATAGGATAGCCGTGGTCATACACAGGAGAGCGAGTGAGAATATCTGTTAGCCAAGCTGGGGTCAGAGCAGGTGAGAATATCTGTTAGCCAAGCTGGGGTCAGAGCAGGTGCAAATATCTGTTAGCCAAGTTGGGGTCAGAGCAGGTGCAAATATCTGTTAGCCAAGTTGGGGTCAAAGCAGGTGAGAATATCTGTTCGCCAAGCTGGGGTCAGATCAGGAGAGCAGGTGAGAAGACAGGTCCAGGAACAAGCCAAATCAGTAACAGCAGATCACAGTAGCAAGGAAACACAGACAAAGGTACAGGGGAGCCAGAGGTCAACCAGCAATTTGAGGGAGTTATGAGCTTCCTTATAAAGGCCGTCCGGTGCCAAACTGGTCTAATGCGTGCATAACCATGCGCCAGTGCACATGCGTGTCCGGCTCACGCCAATGCAAGGTACTGGCAGCAATGCCAGGTCTCTGCGTACCTCTGCTGTGGACAGAGCCCTGACTTGTGCACTAGTTAATGATGTAGCAACACATACCTACATCATTTGTTTTTATTATATAGAGTTCAGCCTTTGGGCGAACCAGTCTCTTTGCTATAAAAGGAGAACACAGAGCCATAATATCAATGTATTGGAAGCTGCTGTAGGGAGGGAATCAGGAAATCTGACAAACTGCATACGTAGAGATTAGGGTCACTGAGTAAATTGTACTTTAATTCTAATTGCTATCTATTTGAGCAATACTCCTGATTTGATTGCTGCAAGGCTCCATTTTTCCCTTTAAAAAAAATAGTTTCAATGAGTATTGGGCTTTTTCATTAATTTTGGGAGTATATTGTTTTTATCCTATGTTGATACACTATATTGTCAAAAGTATTGGGACACCCCTCCAAATCATTGAATTCAGGTGTTCCAATCACCTCCATGGCAACAGGTGTATAAAATCAAGCACCTAGGCATGCAGACTGCTTCTACAAATATTTGTGAAAGAATGGGTCGCTCTCAGGAGCTCAGTAAATTCAAGCGTGGTACTGTGATAGGTTGCCACCTGTGCAATAAGTCCATCCATGAAATTTCCTTGCTATTAAATATTCCACGATCAACTGTTAGAGGTATTATAACAAAGTGGAAGCAACTGAGAACAACAGCACGTAAAATTACAGAGCTGGGTCAGTGCATTCTGAAGCGCACAGTGTGCAGGAGTCGCCAACTGTCTGCAGAGTCAATAGCTAAGACCTCCAAACTTCGTGTGGTCTTCAGATTAGCACAACAGTGAGTAGAGAGCTTCATGAAATGGGTTTCCATGGCCGAGCAGCTGCATCATCAAGCCTTACATCACCAAGTGCAATGAAAAGCGTCGGATGCAGTGGCGTAAAGCATGCCGCCACCGGACTCTAGAGCAGTTGAAACGTGTTCTCTGGAATGACCAACGCTTCTCTGTCTGGCAATCCAATGGGCGTGTCTGGGTTTGGCAGTTGCCAGGAGAACGGTACCTGCCTGACTACATTGTGCCAAGTGTAAAAATTGGTGGAGGGGGGGGATTATGGTGTGGGGGGGCTGTTTTTCAGGGGTTGGGCTTGGCCCCTTAGTTCCAGTTTCCAGTGAAGGGAACTCTTAAGGTGTCAGTATACCAAGACATTTTGGACAATTTCATGCTTCCAACTTTGTGGGAACAGTTTGGGGATGGCTCCTTCTTGTTCCAACATGACTGCGCACCAGTGCACAAAGTAAGGCCCATAAAGACATGGATGAGAGAGTTTGGGGTGGAGGAACTTGACCGGCCTGCACAGAGTCCTTAACCCGATAGAACACCTTTGGGATGAATTAGACCGGAGACTGCGAGCCAGGCCTTCTCGTCTGACATCAGTGTCTCACCTCACAAATGCACTTCTGGAAGAATGTTCAAACATTCCCATAGACACACTCCTAAACCTTGCGGACAGCCTTCCCAGAAGAGTTGAAGCTGTTATAGCTGCAAAGGGTGGGCCAAGTCAATACTGAACCCTACGGACTAAAACTAGGATGCCTTTAAAGTTCATGTGCGTGTAAAGGCAGGCGTCCCAATACTTTTGGCAATATAGTGTAGGTTTGATGTGCAGAATTAATATGTTATTGACCATCTGTTCTCTGAGCTGCCTTTTGTTCAAAGCATGCCACTGCATCATTTGAAAAAAGAAAAATTGATTGCAAGAACAACAGTGTGCACCTAAACCACCTCACATTAGATCACTTACATTCACCAGACCCCTCCTATGCTCTTAGGTAAAATAAAAACTATATTGCAGCTCCACCCATCTTATATTGCAGTATCCTTCTGCCTATAGTAAAGTCCCAGCCTGTGCTCTTTGTTGCTAGTAAATTTGTGGTTAGTTTTGCTATTCAAAATTGTCCTGCTGTTGGCCAACTTACACTGCCATGTCATCTCTTGATTCTTGTAGTAAAACCCTTCGCCTGTAGTCTTTTTTTCTAATAGATTTTGACCAATTCCCTCTTATTATGTCCTGATGCTGGCCAATTTTATACTTTTACACTGCTATATCATCTGGAGTCTCTTAATTTCCTGTGGCAGGACAGTTTTGCTTTGGGGAGAACAAGGACAGCCTAAACAAACTATGGACCAATTTCTAGCTGCTGGTGAAAGTTGGTCTATTACGGTTTGATGAAAAGCATGTGTTGCTGCTATAATTACCTAGAAAATACTTTTTTTTTAACTGAAATGAATCATATTAAGTTGCTGCTGCTGTATGCAAGCCAAGCTGACAATCACCGCTACAGCCAATTATGTACTGCCAGTGTATTTTGTTGCTAAGATTGTATGTTAAAATGGTATGGTTCTATAAGACCATGTACTGCTTTAAAGTATCCCCAAAGCATGTTCTTCAAAGGATTTGTGTATTTTCAGTGTTCCCCTTGAAGTCCCATGAAAATTCTGTTTTCCTGCTGTATAGTATTTTTTATTTTCAGTTTTTTTTGCATTAGTTTATGTCTCCCATGGCAGTGCCCAGCTTCCCATATCTTTTTTATAGTAGTTTGCCAATTAACCCCAATTAAAGGCAGATTTTTGAATGGGATTTGCCGCTATGTTCTGGTTCGCTGAATTTAAAGCAGGTTTCGGTGGACCATTGGTGAATTAAAACCAGACAGATTCACTGATCTCTAACTGAGATAAATTTGGGGTTCAGGCTGTCCTCAGGGTTTTTCTCATACTCAACCTTCTTATGGTTGATGAGACTAAGAGCTAAAGGGTCTGTCTACCTGAAACTGAAATGTCAGCGCAGGGGCGGACTGACCATTTGGAAACTCGGGCACTGCCTGAGGGCCCGGGGTCAGTAGGGGACCCCATGAGATGCCCCTGGTACCTTTTTCATAGGCTTTTTTGAGTTTGGGCAAGAACACAGGGGCCCCCATGATCCCCTATTGCCCGGGGGCCCCATGAGTTGTCAGTCTGCCCCTGTGTCAACGTTTTGTAGGTGCTGGAGAGTTATAGCAGAACATATTTACTTCTTTCTTTCAGTGACTCTATTGGTGAGATCTTTGTGTGGAGTTCCCGGGTCTGCACACCTGCTCTGCCCATTATGAGCAGTTCCCACCACCCATGCTGGATTTATTTATTTTATTTTCTGAAGAATGTAACAGGAGGAACTGTAAGGCACAAAGGAGGGCAGAAACCGCCAACACTCCCAGATGGATGGCAACAGATTCAGGAATTATTATGGCAGGGAGATTTCACTGTTAAGTATGCAATACACACAATATAAGAAACCAGAAGAAGACACAGACCACCAGGCTTCACCTATAGATAGAAAAACACCTGGGCGTATCCTTTGTGTGTTAGGGTTATACTGCTCAGTTCAACTCCAGTCAAAAATGTATCAGAATCTAACAAATGAATTCTATACCATAATAAAGGATGACACCTGTCATCTGAACAAAGAGATAGAATAAATCAGAGGCAGCAGAATCCCTATAGAGCAGAGGTAAGCAACTATTAGAGCCCAGTGTTCTGAAAACCATTTGTAAGAAATTAAGTGTACCAGAAATATGAATAAAAATGTCTACTTCACAGTCTCAATCTCAAAATACATTATTTAGTAGGTAAATTGGAACTAGAATAAAAGTAACTGCAATATTAAACAAAAAAAGTCTTGCTTTTTTTTGTTTAAATAACAAACATGTCATACTTACCTGCTCTGTGCAGTGGTTTTGCACAGAGCAGCCCAGATCCTCCTCTTCTCGGGTCCTCCGCTGGCGCTCCTGGCCCCTCCCTCCTGTTGGGTGCCCCCCACAACAAGCAGCTTGCTATGTGGGGTACCCGAGCAGGAACGCTCCTGAGCTGTGGCTCTGTTTGTCCATTCACACACAGAGCCGCAGATCGGCTCCGCCCCCTCCCTCTCCTGATTATCTCAGTGGCTGTGATTGACAGCAGCGGAAGCCAATGGCTCTCACTGCTGCCTCAGCCAATCAGAAGTGAGAGTCCCTGGAGAACGTATGCTCTCATGGACATCACTGGATCACGATGGGGCTCAGGTATGTGTTGGGGGGGAGGCTAAGGGGGCTGCTACACACAGAGGGCTTTTTTACCTTCATGCATACACTGCATGAAGGTGAAAAACCTTGAGCCTTTACAACCACTTTAAGTCCCAAGGTTGTCTTCAGTGACTGCAATGAAACTCCCGACATTGGTATCAGGGACTGTAATTTTAACCTGCAGCACTGGTGTCAGTGACTGCAGTAACAACCCCAAACATTGATGTCAGTGACTGCAATAACAACCCCCAACATTGGTGTCAGTGACTGCAAGAACAACCCCCAACATTGATGTCAGTGACTGCAATAACAACCCCCAACATTGGTGTCAGTGACTGCAAGAACAACCCCCAACATTGATGTCAGTGCAAAAAAAAAAACAAGATGGGTATCAATGCAGCAAAAAAAAAAAAAACATTATTGGTGTCAGCAGTGGAGCAAAAAATAAAAAAAAAACTTCACCGCAGATGCTTTGGAGAGTGGGGGAGGTGGACTTCCTTACTTCCTTATCCCCCCTCTCTATACCTCTCATCTTGGTACCAGGAAGTTAAAACTTCAGGAGCCCAGTGGTTCCTGAGTGCATCTGACAGCAGTATCTCTGCCTCAGATTGCTGACCCCTGGTACAGAAACGTGTTAAGTAATTGCTGCCTGTGTCCCCTATGAGGGAATTTCCTCTTGCTTCCTGTTCTTCTGACACCCATCAAGTAGACAGATGTAGGGAGAATTTGTTTCACTTCCTGTTCTTCTGATACCCATCAGGTAGACGGATGTAGGGAAAATTTGTTTCACTTCCTGTTCTTCTGACAACCATCAAGTAGACAGATTTAAGGAGAATTTGCTTCACTTCCTGTTCTTCTGACACCCATCAAGTAGACAGATTTAAGGAGAATTTGCTTCACTTCCTGTTCTTCTGACACCTAAGTAGACAGATGAAGGGAGAATTTGTTTCACTTCCTGTTCTTCTGACACTCATCAAGTAGACAGATGTAGGGAGAATTTGTTTCACTTCCTGTTCTTTCTGGCCTCCACAAGATAGACAAGAAATCAGCAAAAGATAGGAAATACACAGGAAATGTCCTAAATGGAGAAACAGTCACCAACGGAATGCTGACAGAGTCTCTAACTAATACCCAATTTTTAGAAATAAAAAGAAAACATTTTGCCTGGATTTGGGCTTTTGGGCCTTGCAGTGATCCTCCTAAAGCCCCCACTGCAGCATTTATTTTAAAACTTCTGTATACATACTTTCTCTAGGTCAGGGGTCACCAAACCTTCTAAACAAAGGGCCAGTTAATGGTCTTTCTGACTTTAGGGGTCTGACAGTGGGAAGTCAGAGAAATAAATGTCCTGGCTTCACTGGGAGTAAACAATGCCCGATCTTTGGAATTAGGGGAGGAATAGTACCCCATCATTAGTGTCAGTGGAAGGAATAGTACCCCATCATTAGTGTCAGTGGAAGGAATAGTACCCCATCATTGGTGTCAGTGGAAGGAATAGTTCCCCATCATTTGTGTCAGTGGAAGGAATAGTTCCCCATCATTTGTGTCAGTGGGAGGAATAGTGCTCTATCATTGGTGTCAATGTAAGGAATTGTGGCCCATTGTTGATGTCAGTGGGAGGAATTGTGCCCCATCATTGGTGTCAGTGGGTGGAATAGTAGCCTGTTTTTTGTGTCAGTGGGAGGAACAGTGACCCGCCATTGATGTTAATTGGAGGAATGGTGCCCCATGGTTGGTGTCATTGGAAGGAATTGTATCCCAGCACTGGTGTCAGTGAGAGGAATAGTGCCCAACTGCTAGTGTCAATGGAAGGAATTGTGCCCTTTTGTTTGTGTTTTTGAGAGAGGAATTGTGCCCCATTGTAGGTGTCAGTGAGAGAAATAGTGCCTCATTATTGATGTGATTGGGAGGAATAGTGCCCCATTGTTGTTGATATTGGGTGGAATTGTATACTACCCTTTGTGAAAATGAGAGGATTTGTGCACCATTGTTGGTGTCAGTGGCAGGAATGATGTCCCATTGTTGGAGTCAGTAGATGGAATAGTCCCCCAAGGGCTGGATAAAAGCAAGCAAAGGGCCTCAGTTTGGAGACCAGACTGGAAACTTCAATCTGGTAATGCTGGTCACGGTGGATGCAGCAGAGAATGGTGTGCACAGTGAGCCCAGG